TTTTTCTTTGGACTGAAAGGTTTGAACTTTTGATAATAGAGGAGAAACTAGGGTAGGATGTTTGCTCCTCCAAAATATATATGTACTTGCTAAGTTGTGTAATACATATATTTCATGTATAAACGCTGTTGTTTTTTTTTTTTTTTGGAGATGATGTGGTACATTGGTACACTTTTGCATGTTGGTTTTTACATTTTTTTTTACCGTTGGATCAATTTATGCGTGTCATTCTTGCGCAGGGGCCATGCTAGTCTTTTCTGTATCGTTCCAATTTTATCGGATGTCCCCGAAGGGACTTTTACCGTTGGATCAATACAATACATATTCGGACGACATTTACTGCTAAATTTGATGAAAGACAATCAAGAGAGCCTTTTATGCACATCTACAAAGTTGAATACATTTTATCTGTATGATCTGAATTTTACTTGAGATGAAAGGAAGTACAACTAAATTATATCTAATTAAAAAAAAATAAAACATCATACCACCAAGAATTCAAATAAAATTTCGAAGTTTGAAGTTGTTCTCTGATTCTATTTTTGTTTTCTTTGTCTTTTTACTATTTTGTTCTGATTTATTTCGTACTAACCTGAATTAATACAAAAACTAAAAATAGTTTTTCGATAATTAACTATTAAGAATAAGTTATTTTTTATCAATTTTGAAATGATTTTTAAACATTAATTTTTTTTCTTATTTCATTCATTTCTTTATTTTTTTAATCAATTTTGAAATGACTTTTAAATACATTATTTTTTTTCTTATTTCATTCATTTCTTCTGCACTTGGTTGTGGCTCTACAGTCCAGCGGCATGAGCGAGCGGAGGTTCATTTCCTCCTCTGAAGGTTCATTTCCTCCTCTTTTATATATAAAAAAGATAAATATTTATATTCTTTGTTTTATGGCTATCGTTTCGTATATATAAAGACATTGAAATACATATTTATTAAATATCAAAATATCAAAATAATTATGTGTTACTTTTCAATTTCATAACTTCTTACTATTATTTGCATTTTCAAATATGTGCGAAGACATATTTATATGTTTCTTATTGTAATGATAAAATTCTTTTAAATGCTAGAAATTTTTAGAATTTTCTGTTTTGATAACTTACTTCTAAATGATAAAATTCTTTTAAATGCTAGAAATTTTTAGAATTTTCTGTTTTGATAACTTATTTCTAAATGAAAACATTTTACAAATATTTTACTTCCAAAGGAATAATTTGAAAACATTTTATAAAATTTTTCCACATTGAAGATATACACATTCTTTATTCAATTTTTTTTTTATAAAAACTTTGTGTACAAGTTTATAATATATATAAACTAAAATAACAAAAAAAATGTTAAAAATCATAAAATATATTTAATTAAAGATCAAAAGAAAACTAATACAATAGTGTTTATTAAAAATTAAATAAATAATTATGAAAACATATTTAATAACATAATAACTTTGAAAGAAATATAATAAAATTCTCTCCTCCCTTCCTGTCTGGCATTAACTATAATTTCGGCAATTAACTACTACAAACAAAAGGACACTATTTATGAACTTAATTAAAATTATAATGTGCCGGCTATAATCAAATGGCATAATTTTACTGATTCATATGTGTCAATTTTAAGTAAAAAAAAAAAAAATCATTCCATCTAGTTCTAGTAAATCAAAATATATTGAACAATATATGTTTTTGAATTCCAAATTGTGATAATGTTAGTTTATTTATTTATTTTTAATATCAAGATATTAGATATAGCAGCATTTGGTTGGATGGGTTTTGCTATGGAGCCATCGGATGACTCGGCTTATGGATTCATCCATTGTTATTCACAAATGATGTCTTGACATGTGTCCTGCAAATGCACATTGGACATGCGTAGATACATAAAGTTATGGATGACTCCATTGAAAGTTCCATGCATGAACAAGTCAAAAATGTACAAGTCTCCCAACTACCATTAGCACACAAGTGAAGAAGATTCAATGACACACCAATGGAGAATTCATCAATAGTGGCCATCACCAACCTTCCTCTTTCACACATCATATGTCAACAATGGTGTTCTTGATCGTATCTATAAATAGGCTTCTCATTTCATTCATTTGAATCATCCAAGAGTGTGATCAATCAACCTTGAAAGTGTTGAAACACAACCAAGAAAGAGTTGTGGAGTGTTTGAGAGTTTTTTGTTTAGAGTTTGTAAATCTCTTGTTTTTATTCTTGTGAGTAATAAAAACTTTATTTTCTCTCAAATTATGTTTTTGATCTTGGGATGATACCACAACAAGTGGTATTAGAACAAGATTTGAAGCTTTCGAGCTTAGTTCAGAAATTTTCTGAGGCTCTGTAGAAATTTCGAGTTTTTGAGTTGTGCTCGAAACTCAATTTCGAGGACACCGTTAGATTCGGCTCGTCGAGACGGTCACGGTGATATCTTACGAGCGAAAACGGACACCGGAGCTGCCCCGAAAAGCCATCTGAAGTTCGGAAAAAAAAAATCTTGAGGAAGAAGATGATGACGTGTCGCCACATCATCTGACACATCATCGCCACATCAACAAGGAGACTCCAATCATCCGCCACATCAGCAGTCTAGTCACTTGCCCAGTCAGCGGTCCCAGTCAGCTGCAACGTCAGCAAGTCAACCGCCACGTCATCGGTTGACTACCACGTCATCGAAAGAAAATAAAAAACCTCCCCCTATTTTCGACTGTTTCGGACGCAACGATGCTGTCTATTTTTCAAAATTCAGCTCCGATTTGTCCCAAACAGATCGTTGAAGGTGTAAAATGACCATGGAAGAGTCAACTTCATCTTCTGGAGGTATGATTATGCTCACAGCTACCAACTATACGCTGTGGAAACCTCGGATGGAAGATTTCCTCAACTGTAAAGAGCTCTTTGACCCAATAGAGCTGAAGGGTATTAACCATGATCCGTCCAAGGCGTTAGAATGGAAGAAAATCAGTAGAAAAACTATTGGTCAAATCCGACAATGGATTGATCATAGTGTCTTCCATCATGTTGCGCAAAAAACCGAAGCATATGTCCTTTGGAGGAAGTTGGAGGACATGTACCAGGCCAAGACCGCTCGAAATAAGGCCTTATTGATGAGGCGCTTAGTCGATATGAAGTTGAAAAGTGGAACTTCTATTGCCGAGCATACTAGTGAGTTCCAGAGCCTGGTAAATCAGGTATCTTGTGTGGAGATGCCGCTTGGATATGAAATACAATCTCTGCTACTTCTTAGTTCCCTTCCTGATAGCTGGAAACACTCGTTGTTACTCTCAGCAACTCAGCCTAAAACGGCAAACTTTCCATGTCCGTTGTCAAGGATGCCTTATTCAATGAAGAGGCAAGAAGGAAAGACATGAGCACAGATCAGACTCATGCCCTTGTGATGGAGAATCGAGAAAGACCACAAGGCAAGCAACAAAGAAGCGGTAGAGGGAAGAACAGGGGTAGAAGCAAGGGGAGGCAATCAGATGATCAGAGATCACATGTATGCTATCATTGTGGTCTAGAAGGTCATATGAAGAAGAATTGCTATAAATGGCTCGAGGAGCAGGGCAAGAGCAATTCTCAGCCGAAGAATATCTCAGCAGAAGAACAAGGGCAATGGTGGTGAAACTCTTATCACTGTCTCAGGTGATGTAGCATATTGCTCTAACCATGGTGAGACGTGCCTTCATGTCTCAAGAGAAGACATCGAATGGGTGGTAGATACTGCAGCATCATATCACGTTACTCCCAACAGAAAATTTTTCACAACATACAAAGCTGGAGACTTTGGATCGGTGAAGATGGGAAATTCCAGTTCCTCTGAGATTGCCGGAATTGGTGATATCCAGGCAACGACAGGAACCGAGAGTACAATCCTATTGAAGGATGTCAGACATGTGCCAGATTTTAGCCTGAATCTTTTGTCAGTGGTGGCTCTTGACAAAGAAGGATATGAAAATCACTTTGGTGTAGGCACATGGAAGTTGTCAAAGGGTGTTTTGAAAATTGCCCGAGGACATGTTTGTGGGACGCTGTACAAAACACATTTGAAGGTTAGTACAGAAAGTCTCAATGTTGCAGAGGAGGTTTCGCAGGATCTTTGGCACCAGAGACTTGGCCATATGAGTGAGAAAGAGTTGACTACCCTGATGAAGAAGGATCTTATCAAGGCTGATAAGAGTGCATCGATGGGCTCTTGCAGTCATTGCCTGTTCGGCAAGCAGCATAGAGTCTCATTCAATACCAATTCAACAAAGAGATCAGAGTTGTTAAGCTTGGTACACTCTGATGTTTGCGGTCCCATGGAGGTTGAATCACTAGGTGGAAGCAGGTATTTTCTGACTTTCATTGATGATGCTTCTCGAAAGGTGTGGGTATATTTCCTGAATATGAAGGACCAGGTGTTTGAGTACTTCAAGTCATTTCACGTCATGGCAGAACGTAAAACAAGAAAGAAGCTGAAATGTCTTCGATCTGATAATGGAGACGAGTATACTTCCAAGGAGTTCGATGCATATTGCATGACATATGACATTTGACATGAGAAGTCAGTACCACGTACCCCTCAGCACAATGGTGTTGCTGAAAGAATGATTCGGACTATCATGGAGCGTGTCCGAAGCATGATGAACATGGCTAAATTACCAAAGCCATTTTGGGGAGAAGCTGTCAAGACCGCATGTTATCTAATCAACCGACCACCTCCAGTTCCATTAAATTTTGAAGTTCCAGAGAGAATTGGACTGGTAAGGATCCAACATACTCACATCTCAGAGTATTTGGTTGTGTAGCATATGCACATGTATCCAAAGAGCTTAGAAAGAAGCTCGATGCGCGGTCAATCCCATGCATTTTCATTGGTTATGGAGATGAAGAGTTTGGATACAGATTTGGGATCCAATGGAGAAAAAGGTGATCAAAAGTAGGGACATTTTGTTCCAAGAAAATTTGACAATAGAAGATATCAAAAAGCCCAAGTGTCTCAAAAGTCAAATGTGTGTGCTCAAGTTTCAGATGAAGCACCAGAATTGTTCTGGAGAAACAATGAAGATGATGTACTAGAAGAGAAGGAGACAGAAGAAAGTGCAGAGCAAGGGGAGCAACAACCCATATTGCCAGAGCAATGGGAGCCACAACCTATTTTGCCAGACAACAATGTTGGAAGTTCTTTTCAGATGGTTCTACCCACTCGTAGATCTGAACAGGGTCATATACCATCAAAAAGGTACTCATCACCTGAATACCTTATATTGTCAGAAGATGGAGAACCAGAGAGTTTTCAAGAAGCCATATCTCATAAAGATAAAGAAAAATGGATGGCTGCGATGCAGGAAGAGTTAGATTCTCTGCAGAAAAATAAAACTTAGGAGATAGTTAAACTTCCAGAAGGGAAAAAGGCTTTGAAAAAAAAAAATGGGTGTTCAAGCTGAAGAAAGATGCAAATGGACAAGTGGTGAAACACAAAGCTCGATTAGTTGTCAAAGGCTTTCACCAGAAGAAAGGGATTGATTTTGACGAGATCTTTGCACCAGTTGTCAAGATGACCTCAATTCGAGTCATACTTGGCTTGGCAGCAAGTATGAATTTGGAGCTTGAACAGATGGATGTGAAGACAACTTTTCTTCACGGAGATTTGGAAGAAGAAATCTATATGCAGCAGCCAGAAGGTTTTAAGGTCTAAAGTGAGAACCTCGTGTGCAAGCTATTTAAAAGCTTGTATGGTCTGAAGCAAGCACCAATGCAGTGGAATAAGAAGTTTGACTCATGCATGAAGAGTCAAGGATACAAGAAGACTATTGCAGATGAGTGTGTTTACATCAAGAGATACTCAAACGGGGCTTTCATAGTTCTTCTATTGTACGTCGACGACATGTTGATCGTTGGGAATGATGCAGAGAAGATAAGTCAGCTAAAGAAAGAACTTTCCAAGTCTTTTGATATGAAAAATTTAGGAAAGGCTCGACAGATTCTTGGGATGCAGATTACTCGAGACCAAGAGAACGACACGTTATGACTATCTCAAGAGAAGTATATTGAATGAATACTTGAAAGATTCAATATGAGTGATGCCAAACCAGTGAGTATTCCACTTGCGAATCATTTCAAGTTGAACAAAAGATCATGTCCAACATCCAAGGAAGAGATGGGGGAGATGTCTGCAGTGCCATACTCTTTGGCTGTTGGAAGTCTGATGTATGCAATGGTGTGTACAAGGCCAGATATTGCTCATGCAGTGGGTGTAGTGAGTCGTTTTCTTTCTAACCCCGGGAAGGAGCATTGGGAGGCTGTCAAATGGATTCTCAGATACTTGAGTACTTCTAAGTTATGTCTTTGTTACAGAGGAGCTGATCCAGTCTTGGAAGGATATACTGATGCTGTTATTGACGGAGATATTGATTGTCGAAAATCTACTTCGGGCTATGTATACACTTTTGCAGGGGGAGCCATTTCTTGGCAATCAAGATTGCAGAAGTGTGTTGCTTTATCCACAACAGAAGCTGAATATATTGCTGCCGCTGAAGCTGGTAAAGAAATGTTGTGGCTAAAGCGCTATCTCTAAGAACTTGGGATCAAGCAGAATGAGTACAAGGTATATTGTGATAGTCAAAGTGCTATTGACTTAAGCAAGAATTCTATGTACCATACCCGCACAAAGCATATTGATGTTCGGTATCACTGGATATGCGAGAAGATTGATCAACAGCTGTTGAAATTAGTGAAGATCAATATGAAGGAGAATCCATCAGATATGTTGACAAAAGTGGTTACACTAGACAAGCTTAAGCTATGCAGAGACATAGTAGGAACGCTTGTACAGAACTTGCATGGAAAGGAGAGAATTGAAAGTTCCATGCATGAACAAGTCAAAAATGTACAAGTCTCCCAACTACTATTAGCACACAAGTGAAGAAGATTCAATGACACACCAATGGAGAATTCATCAATGGTGGCCATCACCAACCTTCCTCTTTCACACATCATATGTCAACAATGGTGTTCTTGATTGTATCTGTAAATAGGCTTCTCATTTCATTCATTTGAATCATCCAAGAGTGTGATCAATCAGCCTTGAGAGTGTTGAAACACAACCAAGAAAGAGTTGTGGAGTGTTTGAGAGTTTTTTGTTTAGAGTTTGTAAATCTCTTGTTTTTATTCTTGTGAGTAATAGAAACTTGTTTTTATCTCAAATTATGTTTTTGAGGGATGATACCACAACATCCATAAGGGAGCCATCCGATGGCTCCATAGAGATGTAAAACATATGTTTTCTTTTTTTTTTTTTTTTGTGTTTGGACTAGATTGATTTTATTGAATAAAGTGAGATAAAATTTAAAAAGGATGATTGCTTATAGGTTTAGTTGTTTGAGTTTGTGTTTGGATATGAGTTAAAATGTAATGGTTGAATTTGATGTAATGTAAAAGTAGAGGTAGATAATATAAAATGAGTGGTAGTTAAAAATATGTGAATTGATTAATAGTAAACTTTGTTGGAAATTATTTTGTACTAACTGACTGATATTATTTAATTATATTTAATGTACTTGAAATATCGGTCCACCAAGATCATCGATTGAACCACCTCGTCTCGATCGACTCGTACCTCGAACCGAACAAACCTGGAAAACAACACTGTGGGACTCTCCGTGTGCCTCACCGCGTAGACACTTCTTGCTCAAGAAAATAATAAGAAGAATAACATTCGCGTTTTGATTTTGGTGATTTTTTTTTTATGACCTGTTGGGATTTGCGCTCATGACTCTAAGGTCCTGATTTGTTATAAATTATCTGATCATTTTTTATCAGATAATATTGTTAACTTAAAATTTAACTCATATTTATCTCGACACAACCCTCATCAATATTATCAATATAATTAAATACTATCAAGTAGTCATCCCACACACCACATCGAATTTCATTCACTATCCATTCACTCACATAATTTTAGTTAGACATCACTTTTCATCACATATATCATACTTTTAATACAAACTCAAAATTCAACTCAAAACTAATTCAATCAACTTTTTTTTCAAAATTAACTCTAATTATTCAATGATCAGCTCAACGGCGATGCCGAGAAAAAAGATGGTCGAACAAAGTTTGACTCTTGTTGATCATCCCTCACTATGAGATAACATGAAATGTCACAATGCACGTTCAACATAACGAGAAATTTCCCTCTTCCATGTGGAGAATCACATTGAAACTTTATATGTGTATATATGTATATGTATATATATATACTCTTTTTACAAATGTATATATTTTTATAAGAAAATATTATACCTTAATTTAAAAAACAACGTAGAATTTTTTTAAAAAATACAACGCATACAAATCAACGGCACATAAAATCTGAAAATTTGCAAGTTTATTGTTTATTTTGCCACCATAAAATATCTGCTTGCAAAAATATCATCATTAATAAAAGTTCACAAAAAAAAAAAAGAAAGAAAATAAAAAATCAGGGGCAGAAAACGACCCGATAATTGGTCCCCTCGGGGCAGGTAAAAGTTCCGGTCGGGTCGTCCTGTGGGTAGGTGAACGCGTCCCGGCACCTCTCCTTGAAAAACCGCGACAGCTCCGTCGGCCGGCACGGGCCCTCGTGGCAGCAGTACTCCGCCGTACGGTACACCGTGCACGGGTTGTTGCACCCGCCGGGGGCCCGCAGCCCGTTGGGGCACTGGCCCGATAAATCCGCGGCGCACCTCACGGGCCGGGCGCAACCGTTCGACGTCGGGGCGAGCTCGACCGGCACGTTGAAGCCCTCGAGGACGGAGACGCTGTAGTAGTCCCGGTGGCCGAACGAGTTGAGGCCGTACTCGGCGAGGGTGCGGGGCGTGGAGCCGTACGAGTCACACTCGAGGCGGCCGTCGCAGTCGCCGGTTAGGCAGGTGCCGTTGGCGGAGTTCGGGCCGAAGGTGCAGTTTGTTCGGGCCCAGATCTGGGCCCGACGCGGCCCGGTGGGGAAGTCGAGGGTCCATACCTGGCCCGGGTCGAGGCGGCGGCCGCCGCCGGGTACGGAGGCGGGCCAGATGGTGTAGGGGCAGTTGTTGGTGATGTTGAGGACGATGGCGCGGCTGTGGAGGGGGAGGAGGACTAGGAGGAGGATTAGGGGTATTCTGGGAAATTCCATCTTATTTTTTATATTCATAATATTTGTTGGATGGGTAGAGACTAGTGAAACACAATTGAAGAGCTTTATAGCGGAAATAGATTGCGTGGTGGAATTGGATTTGGAATTTTTCAATGGGTTTGAACTTTGAAATATTGATTAGTAGTTGGTATTTATCATGCATATGACATGTTACTTCTGTTGAAAATGTCGAGAGTAGGCGAAAATTCAAGATTCGGTCTGAGGGGGTAGCTCGACTGTAATCGAGCTAGGAGAACTCCCGTATAACATAAGAAGAATGATGCTCGACCAAGTTAGACATGGCCAAGAGTCGATCTGGTCCAGATCTATCGGTCTTGGAGCTGGACCCGTGGTAAGATCGAGCCGGTTCCGGGTCAATCTTTTTCTTTTCGGACTCACCGGTTTTGGTCGGGCATTGAGTCAAAGTTTTTTAAAAAATTTTTAACCAGGTCAATCTTTTTACTTCGGACCCACCGGTTATGAGTTGGTCGTTGGGTCCAAGTTTTTTTAATTTTTTATTAAAAAACCATGAACCGTCGAGTCGGGCTGGTTCAATGAACCAGCCCATATATATAGTCGGGCCAGTTCCGAGTCTAGTTTTTTAGGCCCGGCGACCTGGCGGGCTGAGCCGGGTCGTGAACTGGCCCCGGCCATGTCTAGACCAAGTAGATCGAACACGAATTTAAGATGCCAAACTTGAAGGTACAGGCATCTAGAAGCCCGATAAATTTTTGACTTGTTTAGGCCACTTTTTTCTTTCCTTGTTTATTTTAATATTCAAAAACTTGAAACCAGGTGCATGCTTACCAATTGTTATAAGAAGCGTTCATATTATTTACAGTTTTATATATAAAATTTACAAATTCATCAATAGTTAGCTTACCTAATACATTAATTAATAGGTGACCATGAATTGCATCCCATGATGCACTGTGAGTATCTCTGAATGGAATGAATTTATAAGTTAATAGAACATGTTCAACATTTTTCTACTATCTTTCTGCTTATTTCTGAAGCAATTAAATTAATTTTATTCGTGTTTCCTATTTATTTTCATATTAAAACAATATCCGCGTCTCCCTGTGTTTGGAATTCGGGGTGTTCACGGTTCTTCTGAGCTCGCTAGTGGTGTTAGGGGGCTCGGTTGGCCGTTTTGGGAGCTTTTTGGTACTTCTAGTGTGGGGGAGAATTGGCTTTTGGTGGGTCTCGTGGTTCGAGTTGCGATTCATCTATGCTTAATTGCAGTGGAGTGTCGTTTATCTCAAGCGATGGGTTTCCCCTGGGTTGATTTGGTGGCTGCTGGTCTGGTTATGAGTTGTTGTAGAAGGAGGGCTTGTGTTTGTGTGTTTTTTTGGTTGCCTTTTTGCTGTCTTGTGTGGTAGGATCGTGTTTTGGTTTGGGCTCTTTGCCTAAGTGTTTGTGGTATGTTTTTTCGGTTTGGGCCGTTGGCCTCAGTTTGAGCGGGAGCAACTTATTATCCTGTGGGGATCTGCTTCTGTCTCTATTCTCCTGTGGGAAGCTTTTTGTTGTAGTATTTGTGTTTGTTGTGTGGTGTTCTGCGAGTCTTTTTTTTCGGTTCCTAGTGTTGCTAGGGCCGTTCTAGGCAGTCGTCAGACCTGTCCTCCCAATTTTACTCAGCTTTGGGTTGTCTTATTCAACTTCGGGTTGTATCCTTACACGTTTGTGCGTTTTATTATATAATACCCTCTATCGTTCTGTTAAAAAATATATATATAAATGAATGTTGAATTAAAAAGCATATATATAAAAAATACTAAAGCTTTTATTTTAATTTTTTTAAACTAAAATAATGTGTGTGTTAATTAAAGTGTCAAACCATATTTTCTAATAATAACAGTTAAACACTTGTATATTATTTTAGAATTTGAATGTCAAACTATATTCTTTTTTGGCTATATATGTAATTTTAGAATTTAGATAGCTGATTATTTTTTTATTAGATCGACACCATACTATTTAAAATTCAAATAAATATTATTTTTAAGAGAATAATATCATATTACTTCAATAAAGAAAAATATTTAATATATTATGAAAATAATCATGTCTAATTGACATTTGATATGGCACCTGAGACTAACTATGTATCAATCCAAGCATAGAATTATGACAAATAGAATTCCAAAACATGCGAGTATGTCGATTAAGCTCAGCACATTTGAAAATTATACTCATATTTTGAGGGTAAATTAAAATAAGTGAAAAATAAAAATTATATAAATTGGGCCTTTGCATGTAGACAAAGTTTTCAACAGATTTGAGCCTTAATTGAATAGAATGCATTCAGTCCCAATTTTGCATTACTATTTACCGTCCCCTTTTATTAGTCACCGCCCTCAATTACGTTTTTGCCCTTCACACTATCTCTCTACTTTCTGTCTCTACTCTTTCCCTCTCGACTTTTTACGGCTCTTTTGACCGTCAAAAAAATTTTGAAAAGATCCGAAAAAAATACCATGACATCGGCAAGACATTGAAGATTGACTATGTGTTTTTTTTATATTTTTTTACTTTGTAAATAATTTTTAATTTCTTTTTTTACTTTTTGTTTTGCGCGTCCGGCCAGACGGACCGGACGCATCATGGGGTGTCCGGCCGGACCGTCCGGACGCCACATTACCTTTATGGTTATTACCTTTATTAGTTGAATTTAAATTTAGGATGATTTAGTTTTATGGAAACAAATATGGGGTATTACAGAAACTTTCGAAATCCTTAATTAGTTTAAATATATAGACTTGATTGAACAATTATAGAGAATTAATCGTTAATCTTTATATCTATATTATATTTCCTGTATTGAGTAAAACATAATAAATTAATACTTATGTTATTTTTCATACATCTTTTGGTTGGCATAGTAGAGTTGCAAGATTATCTTTTTTTTTCCTAGACAAGATAACCAAATACTAAAATATAAATAACATTTATGTGCTGCTAAAAAATATTTTGGACAAAATGTAGAAATGACTTTTATAAATACTTAATAAATTTATGGTACAAAGTTGACAAAATTCATAAATCCAACTTTGGTATAAAGTTGATGATTTTATTTTAAGTATCTGATAGCCATTTTTATTTTTCATAAAAAAATGTGTTATTAATAATAAATGTCCGATTTTGTGGTATAAAGTGAGTGATTTATTTTTGGTACGAAATGCTCAAATTTATATAGTATGAATTTTATTTGGAATTGATAGAAGTATATTTGAAATTATTTAAAACAAAATAAGAGCATTTACAATGCATAAATATTGTTATCACATAAATTTTGACAAATGTCAATTGTTTATATAGTTGTGAACCACATAAGATATTTGTTAAGTTCACAACTTTATATCTAAAAAATTATCTGCGTGCACAATGTGATCAAACATATTATTGTCAATTGGCAAAAATAAAAATAAAATATAAATAAGAAACAAAAAATAAATTAATAATTAGATATTTTTGAAAAGATATTCCATAATATTTGGTTAAGCATTAAATCTGGCTATTTGGAATCAATTACATATTTCAACGCAGTATTATTATGGAACCAAATATTATAGAATATCTTTTAAAAACAATATAATTATGATATCAAGATATTTAACCACGATTCAATTTTTTTAATTCAATCCATATTTCTTTTTAGACTTATCAATTTATTTTAATATAATATAAATTTACCGTAAAAATGAGAGTTGGACTTTACAATAATCACGGTATCAATATTAACAATATAAATAGAATTTAATTATTTGGACTGTACACTTTATTATATACATATAAATAAATCGCCTATTTGAACTTTAAATATTTTATTTTTTTTCATATATAGTTATGCAATATATGCAACTTAACTAAAAGTAAAAAATATTCTAAAAATTTCATTTCAATCATAGTAACATGTTTTTTAAAATTGCCACAATTTTCGATTAATCGAGGTGCTAGGCTCCAGCCTCCTTCCTTTGTACCAGAACACAAGTGTGCCAGCGTCGCCAAGCAGCCGCAGCGAAATTAGCTTCACGATAACAGTGCACTATCCAGTCTCGATGCATCATCTCCCGAATGTAGATATGGCCACGGGCCGAACCGACCCGTGGCCTGACCCACGAACCGGCCCGGCCCGAACCGGCCCGAAACTGGCCTCCTAAGGGCCGGTTCGTTGAACCGAAACCGTAGGGCTGCGATTCGGTCCCGGTTCTATTTTTTTTATTTTTGTCCCGCTTGGCCAGGCCAAATTCTTTATTTTTCTTAAGGGCCATACCGGCCCGTGAACCGCCGGGCCGATGAACCGACGGTAACCGGCCCTTGGTTCTTAGCGGGCCGGTCGCGATTCGTGTGTTGGAGGGCCCGTGGCCCGACACCTGGTCACGTCTACTCGAATGGCTCTCACTAACGCGCCGTGCACCCCCCAATTCTCGACTGACGTCCCTGTGACCATTTTGATTACATTGTGGTTATCCACATCCACAACAAGATACCATTTAGTTCAGATTAAGCCTATCTGTTGTTGGATAATTTGGTGTGAAATTACACGGGAATCCTACGAACTGATATGTATTTTTCAGTTCTGACAAATATTCTAAAAAAAAAAAAAAAAATTACAATTGAACTGAAAAATAAATTACAACTGAAAAAACGGAAAGATTTTAGCCGAGGCGAGTAAAACTCTTTCTGCAAGAAGAATACGCCCCGTGTGGCAGCTAACGGTTCAGGCGTAACTTCCCCAAAGATACAACGGCAAACGTCTCTAAATCTGTAGCACACTAGATTTACGAGCTCCGGCGAACGGGAACGGAGTCGAGAATTGAGCACTTAAAAATAAAAGGAATATTTTAAAACAAATAAAAATATCACTTGTTTTTCTCTTTTGATATTTTTATATCCGATATTTGGACATAAATCTATCTTTTCTTTCCTTTCTCTTTTCCTTTCTTTCCTTTATTTTCCTCTATTTTGTACAAATTGCTTCATCTGCCGAGGAGCTATAT